TTGGGCAAATAAGTTCAAAGGGGTGCAACTCCTGGAAAAAAAATTAAATCGTAATTTCCTGTCGATATGCACATCTACGTAGTATGTCCTTATTATCTGAAAAGGTTTCATGAAATTCTGTTGTGTGGTTTGAGAGGAGTTGCGATGACAAAAGGTTGCAGTAGTATATTGGGCAAATAAGTTCAAAGGGGTGCAACTCCTGGAAAAAAAATTAAATCGTAATTTCCTGTCGATATGCACATCTACGTAGTATGTCCTTATTATCTGAAAAGGTTTCATGAAATTCTGTTGTGTGGTTTGAGAGGAGTTGCTATGACAAGCTGTTGCAGTAGTACATTAAAGTAAATAAGTTCAAAGGGGCGTAACTCCTAGAAAAAGAATTGAATCGTAATTTCCTGTCGATATGCACAACTACATAGTATGTCCTTATTATCTAAAAAGGTTTCGTGAAATTCTGTTGTGTGGTTTGAGAGGAGTTGCGATGACAAGAAACAGGACTGACGGACTGATGGACTGACAGACTGACGGACTGACGGACTGACGGACAGACGGGTCAAAAACATTATACCCTCCGCAACTCGTTGCGTGGGGTATAATTACATTGTATCTAAAATTAAAGAATCTTAGTGAGCACGCTCACATACCCCACGTGCCCACATTGTCATTGGAGAAATATAATAAGTGTAAGAAAATAAAATTGAATCATAATTTCCTGTCAATATGCACATCTACATAGTATGTCCTTATTATCTATAAAGTTTCATGAAATTCTGTTGTGTGGTTTGAGAGTAGTTGCGATGACAAAAGGTTGCAGTAGTATATTGGGCAAATAAGTTCAAAGGGGCGTAACTCCTGGAAAAAAATTGAATCGTAATTTCCTGTCGATATGCACATCTATGTAGTATGTCCTTATTATCTGAAACGGTTCCATGAAATTCTGTTATGTGGTTTGAGAGGAGTTGGGATGACAAAAGGTTGCAGTAGTATATTGGGCAAATAAGTTCAAAGGGGCGTAACTCCTGGAAAAAAAAATGAATCGTAATTTCCTGTCGATATGCACATCTAAGTATGTCCTTATTATCTGAAAAGGTTTCATGAAATTCTGTTGTGTGGTTTGAGAGGAGTTGCGATGACAAACTGTTGCAGTAGTGCTTTAAAGTAAATAAGTTCAAAGGGGCGTAACTCCTAGAAAAAAAATTGAATCGTAATTTCCTGTCGATATGCACAACTACAAAGTATGTCCTTATTATCTAAAAAGGTTTCGTGAAATTCTGTTGTGTGGTTTGAGAGGAGTTGCGATGACAAGAAATAGGACTGACGGACTGACGGACTGACGACGGACGGGTCAAAAACATTATACCCTCCTCAACTCGTTGCGTGGGGTATAATTATTGACAACGAGTATATACATGTTCTTACATTTTTCCCAATTTTACCCTTGGGAAATATCTAAATAAGATTTTTATTTCATCAAATCTTTTAGCTGGAATTATTTAGATTTTCATAAATATCATTCTTTACACCAGAAATGTTATTCAAAAACAAGTGTGTACAAGAGTTTAGTAATGACTAGTATATCACTGTCAGACTCAAGACAAAAAATATGTACACATGATCTATATTACACCTGATAGTTTTTAAATGAAAAGTTACAAATACCGGCCGAGTACACTGATATGCCCAGAAGTGAAGCGATCCATGAACTTGCATTATGTAAATGTGTAATAAGAGTTTTTAAGCCCGACAGAAAATCGCTTGAATACCTGGAGGTGTCACCTCACAATACCTCTGGGAATTATTTCTTTAGCCAGACTGGTGATCAAAATAGGGAAGGGCCAAATTTATTTAAATAAGTTTATAACATAAAAAAATTATAAACAAATTAGATTTTTCGAGAACAATTTTACACAGAACACCTAATTATGACTTTTAACTTTGAGAGAATCCATAAAAGTAATCGCCCTTAACTAATTCCACTATATATTTACTTGTTTCATTAACTTAGTAAAAAAAAAATAGAGTTTAAAAACGACAGACCATAGTTATTTAAAAAAAAAATAGATATCAAATCGGCCGACATTTCCGACTTTTAAACCTTTTTTTAAACATTTTTCCGTATCAAGTTAATTAAATCATGTCTGATATAATTCTTTTTTTATGATCCAGGAAACTGTTTATGCTTTTGTCATTACCTTGTCAGATAAAACAACTGTATGCTTGACAAGATATTTTGACACTCAATTACGACTATGTAAGTTCCTGCTTGTTTTGGTATTATGAGGTTTCTCAAACCGAGAAGACGTCAAGATGGCTACATGTAAAGAATTGATATTCTCAATTTAAAATTGATGGTGATATCTTATCAAGGTCATAAAACGTTAATACATTTTTTGTATTTATGAATTTGTGCCTTTTTATACATAATGAACATATCAATTTTTCATTTTTTTGAGAAGTTTCCCTTTAAGAATGTCCTTATAATTAACCAAAATTTGACAAAATCTATCAAAATCGAAGTGTTTAACCATATATAGGCCGTACTTTGACCTAAAATTTTTAACTTTTTACACATTGTGACTTGGATGGAGTGTTGTCTCATTGGCACTCATACCACATCTTCTTATTTCTATTGATCAAATGTTTGGAAATACATGCTAAAGACAAGTTTAATTATAAATTTATTTCATTATGAAATTATGAAGTAAATCAAAATATTGTTTTATTAATTCTTTTTTAGTAATCATCCCAATTTTTCTAGTAGATATTGGAATCTTGAATTGGACTGGGATTCTGGAACCTACAGAATTCCAGTTTGAACTGTAACATATACTTTACCTTCTGTAATATTGCCCCAATTGTTGCTGCAGCATTTATTCTGGTGAAAGTGTCCCTGTTTGTAGAACTTGTGTGTAACATATGCCTTAAAAGTGTTAAAAATCCTGCAGCTTGATTCTGTTCTAGTTTAGAATCTGAAATATATAATTGTAATACAATTGAATCCAATATACCGGTACTTATTCTGTCTACCCAATTTTTACTCTTTATCTTCATACATTATTGAACTGTTTCAGGGGTCTCTGAGTAGCATGTTCCCTTCAAATGTAGGAGATCTTGGGTTCCATCCAAGGCAAACTCTATCAAAGACTTGAAAATTTGTATTTGCTGCTTCCCCATTAAGGGAGTAAGAGCAAGACAAGTCTGCTTGGAGTTAGAATAATATGTCCAGGTAGGGTGACATATCATAGGGTGGACTGTTACCTTGGTGAATATCACCTTAAAAATCTGGCTCAGCTTATTAGTTTGGCAGAAAGAAGGGTTCTTTTTAAGTATTCTCGTCCTGATATGCATGTAACATTTGGCATGGACATTAAACACCAATCCATACATCCATATGGTTACTGTTAGACAGAGAAATGTCTCATTGTATGTTTTTTTTATAGTATAATGCAAATGCTTTAACATAAATGGCAACACTTTTACAGAGAAATCTATTCAAACGTTTCAAAGTCATGGGAGCATGACTGAGGGGGTGAGGCCAAATATTACATATAACATTGTCATATTTCATTTCTGTGGAGATTATTTAATAATCTCCACAGAAATGAAATATGATAATGTTAAAACAACTGCCTTCCAAATATCATTGATTTACCATTAGTGGTTTCCCTTAAAGTGACCTAATGATAAACTTTAAACATGTAAAATGTAAAAATGTTCAAAAGTTTTAAAGTCAATGAATGAGGGGCAATTCCAAATAATCACCATGGAAATAAGACGTGACAATGCTTATACAAATGAATACCAAATATCATTGCTTTACTATCAGTAGTTACCCTTAAAACAACTAACAAATTGTTGATGCTCCGCGCCCAAGTCTTGCCTCTGCTACTTCCTTGAGGGGAGACAACAAATGTTTGTTAATGGAATTACTCACCAGCATATGAACTACTAGGACGTATCAGAAGCCAATCATCATCTGTTGGTGAAATTGTTACAGGACTAGAAAGTGTGGTGACTTCATCATTCTCAGGAATAGGAGATTTGTTGACCTGCTCCAATAATGGAAACAAAACCTGAATTCCTCCTATACAATTTATCACATCCTACAAAAAATTATACAAAGAAAATTATTTTTTCAAATGTTTATTCTATTCAACCCCAACAATAGAATCAAATGATCCTACTGATGATTTTTACTTATTCAAGATGAAAAATGTAAGAGGTTACATTACATAAGAAAAAAAAAAACTTAAAAAAAACTAGATTTAAATCTTTAAAACACTGAAATTAATTTTATTTACAACTTATCAATACATAAGGCAATTTGGATCATTCATTTATTTCATGGTTAACAATTTTGGTGGATTTAGGAAAAATGGAATTTTCCTGGATATTTGATTTCATGGTTTTGCAAAAAGTTGTATACAAGCCTATAGTCTATTATTACCCCGATGAACATTTACATTCGGGGTTTCTCTGTATCAATGAAATTAACAAAAATTGGAACCCCACAGTACCACATGTTTCATTGGGTATTTTGTCTTGTTTGGTTGATGTCTCAACAGTCTCATAAACATATACCTCAAATCTACTTTTATTCATCATAATCACTAAAGTTACCAATAATCTTACTCAACAATGTGACAAAATTCTAATGCTTAACATTGCATGTTGTAACATGTAATGTAACATGTCTCACAACCCATCAATAAAATCACTAAATATCTTACCTTAATGTCCCATGTGACACAACACTAGCACATAACCTATCCCTAACCATAATATCTTACCTTAATGTCCCATGTTACACAACACTAGCATATAACATATCCCCTAACCATAATATCTTACCTTAATGTCCCATGTGACACAACACTAGCATATAAAATATCCCTAACCATAATATCTTACCTTAATATCCCATGTGACACAACACTAGCATATAAAATATCCCTAACCATAATATCTTACCTAAAAGGGGCACTAGCTACGAGATATATAAAAAATATAAAAAATGATTTTTTTTTAGCAATCATTAATGAAAGTGAAATAGTGACATAAAATAATATCACTTTTAGCAGCCAGTAGGATTCAATTTTGTCAAAATAAGCTAAGAAACATTGATGATGAATTATTCACTTGCAAGTGAATAATTCGACCTCATTGAATCCGTATTCAAGTGAACTTCATTTTAACCCCTTAGCTAGAGATAGATACCGCATGCATTGTGCGTGTTCAATTATTTAAAGGAAAAGAATGTCAACATTGAAAGTGAAAAAAAGGTAAAACATTTGATTGACTGATTCGATCAGCAAAAAATCATTCTTATGCAGGTAAAAACGATGATTAACATATATTTCTAATCTATAATATGAAATTAAACAGACCTAATAAAATCCAAATGCACGAGTATGCTTTCTATTTATATCTATATTTATGTTTATATCGCTTATATGGCAATCGGAGGTCTTCAAAGGTCACATCAACAGTTAATTAGATGGCGTCTAGACTAAAATACACACGAAACGAAGCTACATATTATCGAGCCCATGCCCGGTATATTGTTTATTTTAGACTTTTGTAATTTGAATAAAATGTTTTACATTGATATACATCAAATATGAGAATTTGAGTCAAATCGGTGAACATGAATTTGACAGCTAGTGCCCCTTTAATGTCCCATTTTACACAACACTGGCATATAAAATATCCCCTAGGCCTAAAATAAAATTTCATTTGTTTGGCATTGTCATCCGACCTACTGAAAAACTTGCCGCCCAAATAATTTTATTTGCGTTTCAGAATTTTTTATTTTTTTTTTTTATTACTGTGCTTATTCAGTGGGCTTTGGGGTATCACAATAGTAATGGCTAAAACAGTTTACCAAATTGCAGTTTGAATTCTTCTCCCACAAACTGATCTACTGGTAAAATATTTTAACATATTGCTTAAGTGAAAGGTTGTTAGTATGAAGTGAGTGCTGTGAAATAAAAAGTAATACTTTCCATCCAGCTCCAATTAGTTGATGTCTTTGTCATGACTTTCAAACAAAATAATGACTTACTATAATATTACTGATTTAGAAGGTCTAACTTTGACATGAAAACATCTATCATAAAAAGATGTTATAAATAAATAGTTCAAAACATTGTTTTGTAGTTCAATATTTTATAGCTTTGTTTTCTAAGAGGAACATGGACCCAAGAGTATGTTCAGATATTTTTTTTTTTATATCTGTGTGGACATTATTTCTCCTATTCAAACAGATCATGTAGGATACTCACTTAATTAAGCATATTGACTACAAGACAGCACTACAGCCTCATCAGTGCCGAACGAGTCCAGAAGTATTTGATTCCAAACAAATAGTAAACTTACTTGGGACGTTGTTACTTCAAGCATACTTGAACCTTAGAATCTGACAACATACACTTTTTAATAGACTACTTTGCATTTAAAATATGGCAAACCACATGAACCAGGAACCCTGCAGTTTACCTATTAGTTCAAAAATATTATAGAGATTGTATTATGTTTTAGACAGGTGTTTTTACCACTTTTTCAATAGCAGAGACAGTGTGTACATAGGTATTATTGCTCTATACACAGTGGAGAATTTACTGGTGAAACTTAATATGTTAAAGATATTTATATTTGGGAATACAGTGATGTTTACTGTAGAGTATACATGCATTTCAAACTTTTTATATTTACACACCCAAGTTTCACATTGGAGACAGCAGTACATACAAACAGTCAATACCACCCCAGAATCTAACAGTTGTTTATAGCTGTGTACTTTGAACTTTAGACAAACACATCGAAAGAATTATTAAATATATTACTGCAAATAACATGTACTAGTATTCAATGATGAGAGCTTCAGGCATTTCAAAGAATTATTTATTAACTGCATTTAATTGAACAGTGACATTTTCTTCAAAAATCTTTGTAGGAAAATTTATCATATTTGAATACTAAATACAGTTTTATAGCATTAACATGCCTGTATTTCAGTACCAGTTATGATAGACCTTGGCTAATCTACTAGCACAGACAGACTAGCACACTAACAGCTAAGACACCAGTCTCACCCCCTCGTGGAGACCCCTTGCTCCACATTCCCAAACTGGCATATTACCATACAGGCAGTTTCTTGCTCTCTGAATTACAATACTGAATGCATCTCTCATGATGTTCAAATCTATATAAATCAATCTAGTGTAGCGCTTACTTCAAAAACTTTGATATAGAATATCATTTTTATAGCATTGTCATCATTGAATTACTGAATTTCTATTAATTACTGAATATCTTTTTATAGCTTTCTCATTGAATTACTGAATATCTTTTTATAGCATTCTCATCATTGAATTACTGAATATCTTTTTATAGCTTTCTCATTGAATTACTGAATATCTTTTTATAGCATTCTCATCATTGAATTACTGAATATCTTTTTATAGCTTTCTCATTGAATTACTGAATATCTTTTTATAGCATTCTCATCATTGAATTGCTGAATATCTTTTTATAGTAATCTCATCATTTAACTACTGAATATTTTTTATAGTAATCTCATTATTTAACTACTGAATATATATATTTTTTTTTTTTATAGTAATCTTATCATGGAATTACTGAATATATTTTTTTAGTAATCTTATGGAATTAATGAATATCTTTTTATAGTAATCACACATTGAATTACTGAATATCTTTTATAGCATTCTCATGTTAGAACTTTGAATATTGAATATCATTTTATGGCATCTTATTTACCCTATAATACTGTGATGAGTATGTCTTGTTGCGAACATGTATATTATCTTTTTGTTTATTTTCAATTATTATTATTTTTTATTTTTTTTTTATTCTCATGACATTATTGAAGGTATAATTATCCAAAATCCTTGGGGGCACTCATCTGTAACCATCAGAGTTTTTGGACCTTGATGGAATTTTATCACTAAAATTTCATTCATTCCCAAGCATTTCAGGGACTTTTATCAAATTTATTCCAGCGCCAGATTGATAGACCCTGCTACTTACTACTTGTAATAGCACCACATGGGCTATCCCCCATGCAGACCTTGCACACCCCGGCTGCAGATGAGACGTCTAGTCTCATCCCCTTAGTGGAGAACCCTCGCTTCACATTCCCGGCTGGCGTATTGTCGGGCAGGCAGGTTCTTCCTCACACTACAGGTTGCAATTTGACTTGCTCGGCAGGAACTCCTAAATTCTTAATTATGCTTAGTGTTTCTCAAGGGCCAAAATATTTTGTTATTGAATTTAATGTATAAATAAATATTATTCATTCAAAATTCTGTCTGCTTTGAGCCAGTATGATTTATTGGGACTATGTTTTGGTTTTCACACAGATACCCCCTTTATCACTTAAGCTGACATTTCATTATTAGGGAGTTGGTTTAGATTCACAATGCTCAATTTCACTGATGGTGAGTTTATAAAATTTTGACTATTTTACAATTTACTTTTGACTTAAAACTCACCATTGGGGACTTTGTGGGTTGTGATATTATATTGGAGTCTGGCTATCAAGAGAGTTACATCAGAAGTAAGAAAACATTGGATCTATGAGAATTTGTTTCATTACCATACAAACAGAAAATTATATGCAAATTTACATACCAGGAGACAATAACAGATAAAACACCACCAATAAAAAAAAAAAAAGTATGGTTACATGATGGGACAACAATTAACACAGCAAAAAATTTACACCATTTACACAACTACAAAGACAATTTTGATTGTATAAAACATCCAAGATGTCAGCATGTTTACTGGAAAGATTAATTATCAAAGTTGGCTGCAAATATTGTTTGTATAAACAATACTTATATTACATATAAGTATCCTATATATTAAAAATTTAATCAAAGATACCAGGCTTATGATTTAGCCTACAAAAGATTCATCAATACGACTTGAATAAAAAAAATTGAAATGCCAAATAAGTACGAAGTTGGAGAGCATTGAGGACACAAAATTACGAAAGGTTTTGCCAAATACTGCTTACAAGTTATCTAATCCTCGGTGGTAGAGAATCATTAGTGCTTTGAACAATTCAAAGTTT